TATGGCTTATTTTGAGGTTCTCCTCTTTTCGGCTTCCCGACGCTCCAAGACGGCGGTCTTCTGGGCGTCCGAAGCCGCCTGGGAGGCTCCAAAATCGCCCCACAACCATCCGAAAGGGCTTCCAGGCAGTCCAAGAGAGCCCCAAAGCGGCACAACAGGGGTCCAAGATGGCCCTCAGGGAGCCCCATGGCGGCCCAAGATGGCCCTAAGACACACTCCGAAGCAATCCAAATCGTGACCCGGTCGTTCAGGGAGACCGCGGTTGGAGGCAGGGTGGCCCGACAACCCCCAGAACCCCCCAGAACACGCCCAGGAGGCCTCCAGAAGGCCTTAAGAAAACCTCCAGAACACGTCCATGAGGCCCCCAGAGGCTCTCCAAGGAGGAGCCTCCGCAAACAGAGCTGAGGAGGATGGGGAGAATGCGTAGGGCATGGCGAAAATTAGGAATAAGAAGCATGGAGGAAGGAGAACGAATAACATTATTATGGCGGCGATGCCGGAAAAGGAGTTATCGCTAAATTGTCGGCTTGACCTTCCGCTAGTCCGCCTGCATACCAAACTTCAAGGACCAAGGTGCATGGCGCGAAGCGCCACTGCAGTCTTGTACCTCTCTCTCTCTGTCTGTCTCTCTCTCTCTCTCTCTCTATATATATATATATAGAGATATATTCGGGCCCCCTGGGGCCCGAATATATTTATGTCCACCGCCAGCTGGGGCCCCAGGACGTTGGGTCCACGGGTGGTGGACATGGACATATCCCCGCCTCGCATTTGAGTGGTCCTGCCCCCTCTCGCTTCCTCCCCAGAGGGCGCGCCGCCGACCTTCGGGGCCGGGGGCGCAAACAGTACACCACCGCCAGCCCTGGCCAGGTCCATCCAGGGCCCTGGACTGGTGTACCGTGGGACCGAGGCATCAGATCGAGGTCGGTTCGGGGAGGGTGCCATAGTGTTCTTCGTGCTTGTTGGATGTTCTTGTGCATCCTGGGGATGGTGCCCTCGGATGTTCTGTTTGTTTTGGCCGGCGGAAGGTATCAAGTTCTTGAGGGATGTTCTTCCGGCCTAGGTCCGACTGTATAGACCTCCAGGCCTCGGCCAGGACTGCCTGTACACCAGTCCAGGGCCCAGGATCAGCCTAGCCAGGGCTGGTGGTGGTGCACTGTTTGGAGCTCTCCCAAGGGGATCTCGATGTGCCCTGCTGGCCTGCGCCCGCAGTTGGATGACGCCTGGCACGCGCGCTCCTTGCGAAGCGGGAGCAGTGGTGAACCCCTCCCCGAGGGGGAAGAAGCCCAACGATCCGACCGACGCTCCAAACCAAAATCGGAGCGGGTGGTTTTGGGGTGATTTTCGGCCTCCAGGGGGCCCTCGCCAGGCCTCCGGACCGTCAACCAAACGTCTCGGGATGAACCCGGCCCCAGGGGGAGTGGCCCCGGACCCCAGGAGCCCACGCATCGGAGCGATTGGAGCAGCCGGATGTCTGGGAGGGGCTCCGCCTCCTCCTTGCTCTTCCTCCTCGTCCTCCTCCTGCTCCTCCTTCTCCTCCTCCTCCTCGTCCTCCTCCTTCTCTTCCTCCTCGTGGCTGGAGCAGCCGAAGAGGAGATGCCTTCAACCATCTGGACTGCAGGCGGTGAGAGAAGGGCCGCCTCGGGTTCCGGATGGGCCCCGATTCTCGGGCCGCTCCTCAGGTCTGGACGGGGGAGCCGCCTCGTGGCCGCGGCTCGGCGTGGCCAGGAACGCCCCCTGCCCTCCTCGCTCGGGGTGCCTCGTGGTGGCACGGTGACTGTGCGCCCAGAGCGATCCTTCCGATGTCGCTCCCTCGCCGGTTGGTTGCCCTCATGTTTCGGCCCAGTCTTCAGTGCGTGCCCTTCTCCTGCTGTTCATGGGCCTCTTTTCCACCACCATGATTTGGAGGGGGGAAGGAGAAGGAGGAGAAGGAGGAGGAGGAGGAGGAGGAGGAGGAGGAGGAGGAGGAGGAGGAGGAGGAGGAGCGGTGCCGCTGCTACTGTTGCGATGCGGGGAGTGGAGAGAGCAGGGGCGTCCCCGTCGTCCGCCTCCTCACATCCCGTAGGGGGACAGCCGCTTCTGGCTGCAAGCTGTCGGGACGCAATTCCTAAGAGACCAGGACGAGGTCGTCGTCGTCGTCGTCGTCGTCGTCGTGGTCGTGGTCGTCGTCGTCGTCGTCATCGTCGTTGTCGTCGTCGTCGTCGTCGTCGTCGTCGTCGTTGTGGTCGTCGCCGTCGTCGTCGTCGTTGTCGTCGTCGGCGTCGTCATCGTCGCCGTGGTCGTCGCCGTCGTCGTCGTCGTCGTCGTCGTGATCGTCTTCGTTGTCGTCGTCACCTTCGGCGTCGTCGTCGTCGTCGTCGTCGTCGTCGTGGCCGTCGTCGTCGTCGTCGTCGTCGTCGTCGTCGTCGTCGTCGTCGTCGTCGTCGTGGCCGTCGTCGTGGCCGTCGTCATGGCCGTCGTCGTGGCCGTCGTCGTGGCCGTCGTCGTGGTCGTCGTCGCCCCCCCTGGCCTGTGTGGCAGGCCGCCGTGGCCGACGCCGTGTCCCTGGTGACGGGCGCGCCGGCACTCGACGTGATCGTGGCACCGCCCCTGGCGGAGAGACGCGGGGCCCCGGGCCTCGATCCTTCGGCCAGCGGCTAGTGTTAAGTCGGGCGTGTCCCTCTACAGGAAGAATATTCAAAAATCGTCAAATAATAGTCTGGGGAAGATTTTTTTCGAGTATTTGTTTTTTGGTATTTTTTTGAGTATTTTTTATTTTTCGTCCAAAATCCGCCTGTAGGGGGACAGGCCCGACTTAAGGCTAGCGCTGGGTTGACAAAACCCTCCCAGGGGCAACGCTACTCCGAGTTTCATAAGAGGCGTCGGGGGGGCGTCCCCCCCCGCTGACAGTCCCACATCGACCCCCGTCGCGGACAGCCACCGCGCGCCGGAGGCGCTCCGATCCTTGTTGCAGCGCGGTGACGAGGCGAGGTTGACCCCCGTCGGGGGGTACCCCCCACGCTTATTAAGAAACCCAGGGTAGGGGGGGGGGCAAGGGCTCAGGGGGGCGTATCGACCCCCAATCGCCCATCGGTCGCCGATAGGGGCCCGATAGCACCACCCCGCCCAGGAACATGCGGTTTCGCTACCGGATCTACGCATCGGCGATGCAGCGCCGATTCCAGGTCGATAGTTCCCCCCCCCCTGAGCCGGTCCCCCTAACGTTCCTCCCTCTCAGGGGAGACACAGAGCCCTGGCCTCCATCCTTCGGGCAGTGCCAGGCTGAAGTTGCGAGGTTGATCGACATATATATATATATATATATATATTTCCTCTTTCTATCTGTCTGTCTGTCTGTCTGTCTGTCTGTCTGTCTGTCTGTCTGCATGCATGCATGCATGCATGCATGTACGTACGTACGTATGTATGTATGTATGTATGTATGTATGTATGTATGTATGTATGTATGTATGCATGCATGCATGCATGCATGCATGCATGTATGTATGTATGTATGCATGTATGTATGCATGTATGTATGTATGTATGTATGTATGTATGTATGTATGTATGTATGTATGTATGCGTGTGTATATATACACGCGAATGTATATATATATATATATATATGTACATATTCCTCTTTCTATATTTTTACAAGCCCGGGCGGGGGGAAAACCCGACCCCCCCCCCAAAAACCAGACTCCCGGGATCTGGGGCTTAGGGACCCTCGGATCCGGACGGGCGTCGAAGCGGCCCCCCGGGCCTCGCAGGACGTGGCGCGCTCCCGAAGCGACCCCAGAGAGCCCCAATACGGTCGACGACGACCCCCAAGAAGCCGTCATACCCCCAAAGATCTTCCCGAAACGTCCCAAGAGGCCTCCTAGAGCACTCCCAAGAAGGCCCCAAGAGGCAAACATTATTGATTCTGTTGGTTTCTGGTTTATTTTGGGGTTCTCTTTTCGGCTTCCCGACGCTCCAAGACGGCGGTCTTCTGGGCGTCCGAAGCCGCCTAGGAGGCTCCCAAATCGCCCCATAACCATCCGAAAGGGCTTTCAGGCAGTCCAAGAGAGCCCCAAAACGGCACAACAGGGGTCCAAGCTGGCCCTCGGAAAGCCCCATGGCGGCCCAAGATGGCCCCAAGACGCCCTCCGAAGCATTCCAAATCGTGACCCGGTCGTTCAGGGAGACCGCGGTTGGAGGCAGGGTGGTGGCTCGAGGAAGACTCCAGAGGCTCCCAGAACACGCCCAGGAGGCCTCCAGAAGGCCTTAAGAAAGCCTGAAACAACTTTTGTGAGGCCCCCAGAGGCTCTCCAAGGAGGAGCCTCCGCAAAAAGAGCTGATGAGGAGGATGGGGAGAATGCGCAGGGCATGGCGAGCATGAGGAAAAAGAAGCATGGAGGAAGGGTAACGAATAACATTATTCTAGCGGCCATGCCAGAAAGGGAGTGATCGCTAAATTGTCGGCTTGACCTTCCTGCCAGTCCGCCTGCATACCAAACTTCAAGGACCAAGGTGCATGGCGCGAAGCGCCACTGCAGTCTTGTATATATTATATTATATATGTATGTATGTATGTATGCATGTATGTATGTATGCATGTAATGTAATGTAATGTATTGTAATGTAATGTAATGTAATGTAATGTAATGTAATGTAATGTAATGTAATGTAATGTAATGTAATGTAATGTAATGTAATGTAATGTAATGTAATGTAATGTAATGTAATGTAATGTAATGTAATGTAATGTAATGTAATGTAATGTAATGTAATGTAATGTATGTATGTATGTATGTATGTATGTATGTATGTATGTATGTATGTATGTATGCATGTATGTATGTATGTATGTATGTATGTATGTATGTATGTATGTATGTATGTATGTATGTATGTATGTATGTATGTATGTATGTATGTATGTATGTATGTATGTATGTATGTATGTATGTATGTATGTATGTGTATGTATGTATGTATGTATGTATGTATGTATGTATGTATGTATGTATGTATGTATGTATGTATGTATGTATGTATGTATGTATGTATGTATGTATGTATGTATGTATGTATGTATGTATATATATGTATATATATATACATATACATATATATATATATATATATATATATATATATATATACATAGCTCCCTTGCCCGCTGCTGTACAGCACGCGTGCGGGATTGCCGCGCCCGCTTTGGCTCTGAAGAGGACCCAGAGTCCGAAACGCCTCGCCAGCAAAACGTGGTTGAGACCGGTAAGGGGGGTCAACGGTAGGAGTGCGATCACCTCCTCCTGGGAATCGAGGATCGAGGAGGAGGAGGAGGAGGAGGAGGAGGAGGAGGAGGAGGAGGAGGAGGAGGAGGAGGAGGAGGAAGGAGGAATGAGGATCGAGAACCGAGGATTTGTCATAGCTTTCCTGGGGCTGGCGAGTCGAGGAGGATCGGGGGTGGAGGGTCGGGTGTTCCGTTTCATGGAGGGGGTGGAGGGCCCAGGGGGGTCCGTTTCATGGAGGGGGTGGTGGCCCCTTTTGTTGTGACCCCCCCTCGGCATCGACTGCCCTCGTCCCTCGCCCGCGGTCGAGTGTTGAGGTGCTGGTAGGACAGGCTCGCGCCGTTCGGAGGAGGGCCATTCGAGACAATGGCGGGCCTCCCTGGCGTTCTCAGCTCCCCATCTCATCCTAAGATGGCTTTTTTCCGATTCCCCATCTCCTAATATCGGTATCTGGTTATGACTCAGACCACGTCGACTCCTTCCTCTTCCTCTTCCTCCTCAGCCTCACTTCTACTCACGCTCGCTCATCCTCAGACTCACTCATACTCAGACTCACTCAAACTCAAACTCACTCATACTCAGACTCGCTCTTCCTCACTCGGACTCAGTCACGCCACTTCCTCATTCAGACTCACTCACACTCAGGGTCACTCATAGTCAAACTCACTCACACTCAGACTCACTCATCATCAGACTCACTCATACTCAGGCTCACCCTTCCTCACTCAGACTCAGTCGCATTACTTCTTCACTCAGGCCCACTCATACCCAGAATCACTCACACGTGTAATCTGAGGATGTCTCAGGCGAGGCGCTGGTTTCAGCACTCCGAAGGGGGTGGGTGGGCGCCAGGGGTCAGGACACTCCAGGATTCGCGCGCAGATTGTGGGGATGTCTTAGGCTGTTTGCTCGTTTGCGTGCTCAACATCCTTTGCTTTCTGAGCAGATTTTGAGGATGTCTCAGTCGAAGCGCTGGTTTTGCACTCCGACGGAGGGGGTGCGCCTGGGGTCAGGACATTTTAACATTCGCGCCCAGACTGGGGATGTCTCAGGTGGTTCGCTTGTTTGCGGGCTCGACATCCCCACACCCAATGTGGCATTTTCACCCACCCATAGGGAGCCCCACCGAAGCCCCCAGTGGGACCGCCCGCATGCGTCCCCCACGCCCAATTTGGCATTTTCACCCACCCAGTACAGCGCTTCGTGGCCCATTAGGGAGTCCCACCGAAGCCCCCAATGGGACCGCCCGCATGCGTCCCACACGCCTAATTTGGTATTTTCACCCACCCAGTGCAGCGTTTCGTGGCCTCATAGGGAGCTTCACCGACGGCCCCAGTGCTACCGCCTGCATGCGTTCCCCCCCGCCCAGCGCAGCGCTTCGTGGCCCCATAGGGGGCTTCACCGAAGAAGATATTCACAATTGCGGTACCCACAACTTCATATGACTGGGTCCTTCGCCAGGATATTTTTAAAAACATTCTGCGGCCTCAGACGTCCCGACCGTTTCATGGGGCTAGTGTTTTGTCCTCGGTCTTTTTTGATGGTCCCGGGGTGCGAAAATGGCCCTGGAGGGTCGAAACTGAGGAATCCACGCCCGTTGACAAGAATCAGATCCTCGTGGATTTGGGTTCCTTCCATGCTACAGCCGACGGAAAGGATGGGTTGTGTTACCAAGGGTACTCTTGCTTGCGTGCCTCTTTGGCCTAAACTTGACTGCTTTCGATGGCCCGCCGCACTCGCGAAAGTCTCGTTGTGGGTGTTGAAGGGGCTTGCCTCCTTCTCGCGCATCCTTGCTATCAGTTATAGCTGCACTGCAGCCGCCGCTCCCCTCCGAGCTCTCCCGGAGGAGGAGGAGGAGGAGGAGGCGGAGGAGAAGGGGGAGGAGGAGGGAGGAGGAGGAGGAGGAGGAGGAGGAGGAGGAGGAGGAGGAGGAGGAGGAGGAGGAGGGGGAAGACAATTAATAGGATAAGGTCACGTGCCGAGGTGCTCGCCAGCGCCGGGCAGGGCGCCAGGCGGCTGCCCCAGGCAGCGAGGGGTGCCCGCCGCTGCCGCCGCTGGCGCCGCCGCCGCCCGCCGCCGTCCGCCGTCCGTCCGTCCGTCCGTCCGTCCGCCGCCGCAGCTGGCGACGTTCCTGTTCGCCCGCCGTCGTCCGCTCCTCCCTCCTCCTCCTCCTCCTCCTCCTCCTCTCCTCCTCCTCCTCCTCCTCCCTCCCCTCCTCCCCCCTCCCCCTCCCCCTCCT